CCCAGGCAGGAAAGTCCATGAGACTCTTATCTCTGATAAACCACCAGAAAACCAGAAGTGGCACTATGGCTCAAGTGGTAGAGCATTAGCCTTGAACTGAAAAGCTCAGGAACAGCACCCAGGCCCAGGTTTCAAGCCCCATGACCATCCAAAAAAAAAAAGTTAGTATCAATTACCCATCACATTAGCTGGTGGTAGAGAAATAGGACACTTATTATGATGTCATTCGTCTTAATTCTGCTGTTCTCGTGATTAGTAAAAAAAATAACAATTATCTTCTTATGCAATCATCTTATAGTAAGTCCAATAATAAATTATGATTACTTCGTCTTTTATCCACAAATCTTTGTTAGCCTAACTTAATGTTTATAAAATTGGTTTATCAATTTCTAATCAATACATGACAACCAAAATTACTTCTTACTGGTGTAAAGGTTTAATACTATTGTTCGGTTCTGCTTTTCTTTTTGCTCACCTTTGGCAGTACTGGGTATGTTGAATTCAGGGCCTCATGCTGCTAAGCACACTAGCACTTGTGCTACCTACCTCTTCAACCTCTTTTTGCATTGGTGATCTTCGAGGTAGGATCCTACTTTATGCCTTAGCTGGAAATGAGGCTGGGACCCTCATTCTTGTTCCTCTGACACTGGGGATAAGAGGCACTCAGCCATTATGCTGATTCCCTGGTAGCTAGGATAACAGTTGCATATCACCATAACCCACCACTGGCTGTGAGATGGTGTCTGTCAAACTTCTATGCCCAGGCTGACCTTACATTCAATATCCCTATCTCTGATTCCCCAGTAACTAAGATACCGGCATGAACCACCATGACTGCTTACTGCTGTCCTGTTCTCATTTCAAAGGTACATAATGAGATTTACTTATAAAATAGGACTATTTTCATGAACATTCAGGTGAAACTCTTTGTTTACCTCAGCTAAAGTAATAAGAAGAGGGTCAAATGGAAGACTTTCAGGAGAGCAGTCCCACTGTAACCTGTGCTTTACTGAACCATGGACCAATCTACAATACGAAAGTCAGTGAGAGACAAAAAAAGTACAATTATTCATTAGGAATCTTATCATACACATACTTTTCAAAGAGTATATATCTGAATATATGTATATGTATATATGTATATATGTGGCTATATATGTGTATATAGCCACATTAGAATTAGTTTATAACATACAGATATCATAATTTTTAAAGATAAGTCAAGGACATTGTACAAAACAACGTCCTACAAAGTCCTACTCTTTGAACGAAATGGTTTAATAGCCCTGCATTTGATATTGCTCATTATGAATCTGTTTCCCCACTAGTGTATTTTTTTTTCTTTTGTGCCAATTGTGGGGCTTGAGCTCAGGGTCTAGGCACTATCCCTGAGCTTTTATGCTCAAGGCTACACCACAGCACCATTTCTGGCTTTTCTTTTTCTTTTCTTTTCTTTTTTTTTTTTTTTGATGGAAAATCGTAGATAAGAATCTCACAAAGTTTCCTGCTTGGGCTGGCAGGTATACAACATACCTGCCACCTAAGGAGAAAACCGAGGACAAGAAGGTAAAGGGGCTCCAACAGGAGCTATGAAAATGGATTCGAGACCCTGGATTAGGGTCTTTGCTATCTCATTACTTTAAAAAAAATGTGGAGCCGTAAGAAAATTTTCAATTATCCTTTTTATAATGTGAATAAAATTTCCCATTGTTTCAAACAGACTAAAACTAGTCCAGGGCAAAAAGACCTGACCCAAAAGGGACAAAAATATGCTTAAGTACTTACAACTTCACCAATGACAGGATTTTCTAATTTGCAACTTGAGGAAGTTTATGAATGCCTGAATTGATTGTTTTAGAAAGTGGATCACTCAATTCCTCAAATTATTTGGTAATTTACCACAGGTCTCAATAAGTACATTTTGGGATTAAAATGGTTTTCTTCATCAATGTCCAGAGATCTATACCAATCCAACAGTGAAGAAAATAAGTCACCTTTATTTCAACCTAGTAGAACTTTCAACCCATTTTCACTGAATACTGTATTGATTTTGCTCAATTACTGTGAATAATATGGTCAGTTATAAATTGTATTGATTTTACCTGCAAGGAATACCTCCCTTAGAATAAATAGCTGCAAATGCAGAAGGGGCCCGTGACTGTTCACCAAACTGAAAAAAGAAATAGAAATACTACAATTACCTCCACTCTGTGATAGCTAATCAATTTTAACTCTGCTGTTGAATTTAGAGGCAAACAGTCACCCTGTCAAATCAAAACTCTGGTATTATAAGGAGCATTCCTGCTCAGCAGGAATGAGAAAAATGGTCACACTTCCAGAATAACAAGACTACACCCAAGCAGTGTGCAATTTTGTATCTTTAACTTATTTCAGAGGGCCTAAACATGGCTGAAAACATGGAAATGGATAGATCTTGATACTTTCTACCTTACTCTGACTGTTCAGGTGTTGGCTAAGTGGAAAAGAAGAAAATGGTCTGGTTTTAGTCACTAACTTATCTCCTACTTGCCTTCAGCCAAACAGAGATAGTGTGGGTGGTAAAAAGAAAAAAAAATCTCTTATTTCTCTAAACTAGCTTAATGCTTCTATGGAATGAAAATCAAATATGAGGCAAAAGTCTCAAATGCATTTGAGTATACTGTCTTAGATTATATAATTTGACAAGCTTCTTGTTTTTCTGTATATTCAAGGACAGACTAATTCTATATCTAATTTCAATGGCAATTTAAGAGACAGTCACAACAAATTAAACAATCACATTACAATTGTAACATAACTGATCAGAGATTTAAATAGAAATTAGGAACACAAGCACAGGATTTTCCTGGACAGTGATCTCCATGGAACTATATATTCATGGATACCATGGGTGTAGCATATGTGAAGGAATTTTTTAAACTGTGCTTCTTAGTAGGAAATATAAACTAATGTATAAATCATTCCTATTACTGTGGCATATTGCTCAGAATATGAACTGAGTTGGTAACTGTGTGTACTATGTTACTTTGTCTGCTAAATGTGTTTTCTCACAGTAAATTGGGTTAATTCTAAACTTAATGCTCTATACTACTGAACCATTTAGAATTCTGTCTAATTTCCTCTACTTGCCAGTTTTGATCTGGTGATGAAGTGTATTTGGTAATCATGATGAAGAACAGGGGTGATGTGCATACCGGAGTACAGAGAGAGAAGGTACAGAGATTAACCACTTCTGGTATGTATATCTGCTAACATTAATGAATAAATTTCATTTGCCATATTCTATTTGCCAGCAGAGTCAATCAGTCACTTTCACAGAGTATCAGTCACTTTCACAATACCCTGTGAAGGATGAAATCACTATTGTCTAGCACTACCTGGGACAGATAATGTTTGGTGCTATGACGTACATATGTTAAAGTTCTAGATAATTTAACACATTTATGTACATACATGTCATGTTTGCTAAATTTGATCAGGTTGCCTTGAAAAGATCAAGGGAGATTAGTATTACAGTAAGACTTTCCAGTGGAATTAGTTTACAGAATATTGACATTTATACAAGTACTGAAGCACAGATATCATGTAGTAACCATAGAATTCAAGTCTATTCACTGATATTAGAAGGTCAAACAGCATAAAATATTGAAAAAGCTGTTGTATAATTTATTATATCTCTATATTATGCATCAATGAGTCTGAATGGACACAGAAGCAGTAACTAGTTTAGAATAGCAACAGAGGAAACCTGGGGTAGCATTCAGAATGGTTCAAGAGTAACCGGCTGACATCTATCACATTTACAAACCCAAATTAGGATTCTGTACTTACAGGATTAATTGTTTTAGGGTTTAGTTTATCGCTTGGTCGAGGATGAACTTTTCGGACACACTCTGGAGAGCTGGTGGAAGAGGAAGATTTACTTCGCTGAACTGTAGTCTTGCGTTTTATTTGTGTGCTGGTGGATGTCCTTTGATCAAAGTTACCTAGAAAAGGCAGAGCATCAATAAAACCAGGCGAATACAATAAAAGTTCACCCCAAATCCATATGGAACACAGAACATCTCACAAAAAACATTGGCCTCTTCATGTAAAATAACAAAGCTCTGTACCTGTTACTCTGCTTTTCACCTGTACATCTGTAGGGCAATCTGATTTCTGCATTGCTTCCTTTCCAATCCTGTAGTTAAAGGAAACGATCTCAAAATGTGTTTATCTCTAACATGAACAGAGCATAAAGATAGAATAGTTGACATAAAAATTTAAAAATCCCAGTATGGAGCCAAATACCTGAAAAGACTAAAGACAAAATAATTTCAGTAACACTGAAATAAAAATTAGAGAAAAAAGCAGTTTCACTAAAGTATAATTATACAATAGAACATGTGACCACTGTTTTTAATTTATAGCTTCCACAGAAATGAAAACTTGTAAAAATTGTAAAAAAAAATTATAAAAAATTTGTCAAAATTTGAATTGTCAAAATATACTCAGTTACAACATATACAAAATTCAGTATACTGAATATACTGTATATGGTTGGCACATCTCCTACCTTCTCCATCTTCTCTGGCTTCTATATTTCCTAAACTCTGAATGCTAATGTTGATATATCATGGTCAGAATTTCCAGTGACATAATGAACTCTCTTACCTAATGCACCATGAGCTCTATAAACAGAATGGAACTACAACTGAGGCTGCAACCAGTTTTCTGGCCACTCAGCTAGGATTGTGCATGCCCTCTTCTTCTGCACTGATAATACTCAACCCTAGAGTTGTGAGGAACAAATGATGGGTACATCTAGGGTTGTATCTCAGCTTTAGCAATTACATGTTTGATGAATTTCAGCAGATTTAACATCCCCAAGCCTTGCCTTCATGATCCATTGACAAAGAGACATAATATAACCACTCAAGGATGTTATGGGGAATATATGATTATACATAAAGTTGCTTACCCAATAAATGTTGGTTCACTCTCCTTCCATTTTTCTCATTTCTACTAAGTGAAGTGCTAAAGTTAATCCCTCAAGATTTCCTGCTTAATCCAACCTCAATCTAAATTTGTATCTCTACAAAGATACGCAAATATTTCCAGATTTATGCCCAACTGCCTACTGGTACACTGAGGCTGAGCTCCACGCCAGACTCTCACGCCACCTTTCCTGACCTAAGTGAAATACACATTTCACAAACACCTTGAGTTTCCAGCTTGCTCCTTTATGTTTGATTCCTGATTAGTGCACGTCATAGTGTATGATTTTCATTGTCAGTATATACAACTGTTGTCAAACTCCACAGTGTAAAAACCTTCCCTTGTGACAAGTTCCCCTCCACTTCCAAAGGACAACTTTTTAACTATGTGAGGACACAGACTCGACTCCGTAGGTTCATCTGATTCCGGATAAACAGGATACTTCCATAAATGATTCTTCATCTGAGTCATGAATTCACCTGACAATTAGAAATCTCCAAAAGGAGAAAACTCTCGGAAACAAATTTCAACCTGCTGGGGAAAATCATGTCTGTAATCCTAGCTGCAAAGGTTGCGGAGATTCGGATGTAGGCAAGACCCCATCTCATCCAATAAAACCCGGGGCCTGTCCCTAGACATCCCTGGATACCCAGCAAGATGTCCAGGCCAAACCCGGGGCCGGGACCGGGAAGGACGCGCCTGCCACCCACAGGCCAGGCCGGGGAAGGACGCTCCCGCCCAACCCCAGGCCGGTGCCCCGGCGGCCCCGTGCGCTCCGAGGAGCCGACTCCAGGGTCGTTAGCAACCGAGAGGCGGCCCTGGCAACAGAGCAGGAGGAGGCCGGCGGGATTCCCGCACCCCGATCCACAGCTCCGGGGACCCGTCCCGAGACCACACCTCTCCCGCCGCGACGTGGACGCCCGGGCCTCCGCCCGACTCTCTCTCCACAAACCAACCACAAATCACGCCGACCACCACCGAAGATACCCGGCTTTACCGGCGCCTTCGCACCCGGCGCTCCGCAGTGACGTCAGCGGCGGGCCGCGTCCTCTCGACCAATGACAACTAGGTAGCGGCGGCCGTCCCGGAAGTGATCGTTGCCATGGCAGCCGGCCACTGGAGGTTCCAAGGATGGGTCGGGTGCTGCCAGCGCCCTCTCAAGGATGGACGGACTCAGGAAAGCGAATCTTCTGGAAATTGACTGGGTGTTAGTTTCCTGCCCTGTCTACCTAATTCATAAACCCTGCTGTGCAAGTTCCGGTCCTGGCCATTTTCCTAGTCCTTATGTGTGCTGAGCTACATAATGCATCCCTGTTTGCATAGTGAAAGAATATACATTTTATCCTTCATAGTGTTCTAGAGAAATGAATACGGGAGGAAGATGTGTATTCCCTAGCAATCCCACCAGCAACAATTTGGACTGTCTTAATAAGAAGACTACAAACACTCTTAAGACCTGTCCACTGCCCTCTCTGTGGTCTTTTGTATGCCTTGGATTTTATTGACCTCCAGGTTGTTTAGCATTGCATGTCCTGTAGCTCTATTCTTGCTGTCACCCCAGAAATGGTTTCATTATACTGTAGGATTCTTCAGGATAAGGACTATGTCATTCTTTTTGTTTCTCCAGATAGATTCGAAGAAAATAAAAAAATGAAGGAAAGAAGGAAGGAAGGAGGGAAGGAAAGGAGGGAAGGGAGGGAGGGTAGGAGGGAGGAGAAGAGAGGGAGGAAGGGAGGGGGAGGGAGACAGGAAGGGAGGAGAGAGGAGGGAGGGAAAGAAGAAAGCAAGGAAAGAAGAGAGAAAGAAAGAAAGAAAGAAAAAGAGTAGTACCCACGTCACAGGACCCCCACCAAGAAGACCAAGGAGAGTCAGACGTTCTAATGCAAAACCAACGTTTTATTTAGACGGGCTGCAGCTTGGGCCTTGGCCTACGCTCCAACACAGCAGAGCCTAGGAGGAGAGCCTGGAGCTAAAGATTTGCAGGGCTTATAAAGGCTAACAACCAGGTATTTGGATTACCACCACGTGTTGCTAATTGGTGGTGTAGGTTTGCTCACAGGATTTGCTTAAACAAGCAACAAATGGTCACTGCCTCAAAAATGGAGTTACTTTAACAGGAAAGAAGAAAGAAAAAAAGGAAAGAAAGGAAGAAAGAAAGAAAGAAGAAAGAAAAAAAGAAAGAAAGGAAAGAAAGAACTATACTAGATAGTATAGTAAGTATGTAGGTACTCGGGGAAGGTTCTTTCAGTTAATGAAATTAATAAATTCTGCACATATCCAATCTCACTAATATTCTGTGAATCTTGCATACAAATTTAATCTTAAAATTTATTATGAAGTACATGTCTTTCCACTAGGTAACTTGTCTTCTAGCCCCAGTCTCTAGCACAATTCATGCTTACTAGTTTAAAAAGCATGGAAAGGAAATGGTTCCTTTTAGTCTCTTGTCTGGTTTTCTCAAGCTGTATTATATTTTCCTTACTCTTAATGCTTTCAATATCCAAACTCTTAGCCTTTTATCCCCTCTTCCCTGGACCATAACAATGATTTGTGTTATTTTAGGGAATAGTGTATATGTTCTGCAACACTTATGACCTCCGGAGAGGAGAGCGAGACAATCCATCGAGGCACAGACAGTGAAAGGTGGACACGAGAAGTTTATTTACACTATGTATACCAGAAAAGGGTCCTGAGCCTACCTTCTCCTGGGCTAGATACCCAGAACCAAGATCTGCCTCAACCACCAAACTTCCAAGCCTCCAACAGCAGTCCTGACCCCCGACCTTTGTTAATGGGTCTGCAAACCTCCAACCCCAGACCTCCAAAGCTCCAAAGCTCCAAACCTCCAAAGGGGAAGGCTTTTCCCTTTCTTCCCTTCCTCCTTCTCTGCAGGGCTCTCCACTCTCCACAGGCCTGCCCTGCTCTGCTCAGGGAGGCCTCTCCACAGGCCTCTGCAGAGGAAGGCCCCAATGACCTCCAGAGGAGGTCCCAAAGGACCCCTCAAGGAGGCCCCAAATGACCTTCCAAGGCCTGCCCTGCCCCGGCAAGCTTTTCCTTCCAGGATCCTCCACTCCTATTCCTCCCCTTCCTCCGCTCACTGCTTACCTATGGTTTTCCCTAATGGTTTTCCAACTGCCATTCATGCTCCTCCCCCAAGCTGCCAATCACTGTCCAATCACTTCCTGACAGTTCACCGTGTGGGCCTCCATGCTCCACCCCTCCAGCAGCACACCCCACCCCTTTTGGCGGCATGCCCCACTCCTTTGGTGGCATGCCCTGCCCGTTTCGGTGGCATGCCACGCCCCTCCGAGGCGCCCCGTGGGGTGGTGACTTCAGCCTCTCAAAGCCCTGCTCTGTCCCATGGTGGGGTCTGTGGAGCAGTGAGGCTCGCCTCTTGCTGCCCCGCCCCCTCCAGCAGGCGGGGCCACAGGGCCAAGCTGACTATTGGGCTCCACTGATTACTGGGGCCCCATGGGTTATCACATAGCCAAGCTCTTGAGATATAAAAATGACCTCTCCCTATTACTATAAGGCCATGTGCCAAACAGCTCTCAGTATAGATTTCCTTACTTTAGAGATAAATAAGAGTGCAAATAAAGTAGCTGACTCATTGCAAGCACTCATTAAATCATTATTGCAATGATAAAAACAAAACCAATTTGCAGACCACCACTAGTGGCAAAAGTGTCAAACTATGTGCAGGAGTAAAGATCATAAATGTGATAAGCTGTTCACAGCTTTACAATAACCACAGTGAATGGTATTATCTTCTCCTAATGGTAATCAAATAGCCTGTTCTATTTTGTTTTAGAAAATGAAGTAACAGGATTATTTACATTGCAACTTTGAGAGGATGTCCTTCAAATGAACCGCAGATGCTTTCTTGACCATACTAACTGCAAAGGCCTGTGAGACATCCAGATATAGATGACAGAGATCATTGGACATGCTCTTGTAGAGGGTGGGAAAGAAGTTTAGGCAGAGTTGTGAATAGGTAAATGGGAATAGGGATAGATGAAGTTGTAGAAGAATATGTTGCATGTGAGAAATACAACGCTGGTTCTGATTTTAAGATTTGATTCTATATTGGGTGGATAAAAGGATAAGGAAGGGAAGGTGGCTTGTGTGTGTAGACTAAGAATTCTGAAAGCAATACAATACACTAGTTTCTGTTTGCTCCTATAGATACACTCCTCAGTTTCACCCTGTTGTCCTCTCTAGGGAGCTTATGGGAATAAACTACAAGGCTGCCATTCTGCCTAGCTTCTATTTGGAGAACATGAAGAACAAAATAAATAATTAGCAGGGAGGAGAATGAAATTAGAATGATCATTTCTCTGTTCCTACATCTAAGAGACTTCCCGGGAGCTAGCTATATCCCTAAAAAAATGGTAGCTTCTTTTTTGTTAAGTTTGAATGCTTGAATCACCCCCCTCCAAGTTTTAACTTTTTAATTATTTCCTCCAAGTAATGGGATTTAGAGGTAAAGTCTTGTGGAAGTGATTAGGCCATAGGGACAGAACCATTATGAATAAGATTAATGTCCTCATAATAGGGGCTTGAGAAAGAACCATCATTCTTCTCGACATGTGAGAATATAGTGAGGAGTCACCACCTATATCCTGACAGGAGGTCCTCATTTGAAATGGAATCTGTTGGTGCCTTGCTCATAGTATTCTCAGCCTCCAGAAATATTTGTTGTTGATAGGCATTTTGTTATAGCAGTCTGAAGAGTCTGAGACACTTTATCAATGTCCAACCCAAGATCAAGCAGACAACTAACCTGGATTACTGTCCTGATTTCTCAAATTATTCTGTTTCAGTGTGTTAGTACATACACTGTAACATTATGAATTACATAAGAAATCTAAGCGAAGTTCATCATTCAAGGTGATTTTCTTCTCATCGTTGTGTTTCTCTTGCGAAGGACTGATTGAATTAATTGCGATCCTGTAGTAATGAAGCAGTTTGAAGGGAACATCAGTGGAATAATGGCTTTCCTTAATTACTATACAGAAAATTTCTTCCCTTTTATACAAATCACAGACCAAGTAATCATCCCCCAGTGATGATTCCCAAGTCCCCTCATTAGGAAATGAGATACAAGACATTTCCTATGTAATTTCTAGTACACGCTGTCAGAAACTGTTAGACATTATCATTATACAGTCATTAAAAGTCACTTGCACATGGGAAAATGAAGGAGTGATGTTGATTCCTCAGGTGAAGGCAAATGAGCCCAGGATGTAGGGGCATAGAAGTCTACTTGATCCAATAGAATGATGACACCACTCACCTGGGAACAATTAAATTTCCAAGGAGGCATGTTTTTCTTATAAATAGAAGCAGATAAGATTAATTGTAGTCACATATTTTAATTGATCTATCCATAATAATATAATTTTGATATGTTATAAATCTAAGCTTTAATTGGAATTTTTTCTTGTTAGTATGCTAAGTCTTCAAAATCTGGTGTGTATTTTACATGACAGTACATTTTAGTTAACACATTTTAGTTCAAATTCTGAAGAA